TGAGTCTTTCTGAAGTCCTTGTTGCACTTAACGCCAAATCTGGAGCTGCACAATTCAGCTGGATATCCTATAACAGTCATCAGTGTGCTGTCGGGCTAGAAGGTGGCATCAGAATAAAAAGTAACTTGAAATGGAAATTGTCTTTTATCCTCATCTCTGTCTATGCACGGACTGACTGAGATGAGTTCTGAGTGACCCCTACCAGGTGTGCTCGACAGATATCCTGGTGCTAGCTGGAGACTTAGTTGCACGGGTTAGACGTTTACCCTTGAAGGGGGCTTTTTAGGTGATCAATAGGGCTTTTATTCGGTTACGAGTCACAATTTAGTGGACATTTTTGGTAACACTTGTGCGGTCAAAGATAATTTCTGGGGAGGAATGACCTCTAACATAGAAACTTTCATTGTGCCTTAACTCAGACCACATAATAATCAGATACCGCTAACCTATGTGCATTCAGTCCTGCCCCTCTTTCTGGAGCACCTACCTAAACATTGAACAAGCTGTAGTGTATGTTGAGTTTATCCACCATTTAAGTAGTCGTTTTAACTGTCGTTTTCAGTGCCTCGACGTGAGCAAACTGATTACACTTAGTATTGCAACTTAGTACGAGATGCAGCTAGGTTTCAAAGCTTCATAGAGTAAAGATGAGCACTGGCTTAACTTATGGTGTAACGTAAAATTGGTGAGTACATCTGCTTGTGTCTCTAAATAACATCCTTCAGTTAAGTACTATCTATGCAAGCTCATTGTAATGTCTTGAACTTTGTTGGTGTATTTTCGTAAGCAGCGACTATAATGGTAAGGGTAAGTTTTTTAGATGACGGACCATCTAGTATTCGCGTAAACAGTACAAAGCTGGTTGTCAGAACGCAAGAATGAGAAAACGTAGGCAGCTGAAGCTAGCAAAAGTCTGAAGTTGTTCCGACCAAGCCGAGTCACTAACAGCACAAATCCTGGTGTACGTGAGACAATCTGTGAAGTATACGGTATGCTGACCTGCAAACCTTTTGTCAGTTTGAACGGTTGGTGGAGCACTTTGAAAAACACTTCAATTTGCTTACTACTCCACCAATATTATCATCGGTATCTTATACTCGATGGTCCTTTCACACCGACTTTCCTGGAGAAGTGGATATCCGTAGGGCACTTCGAGTTCTGAAGCAACATAAGGCACTCATAACACACAACTTACCTCCTACCCTTTTTAGGGATGAAAGTAATTTTGTGGTCAGGGGACTTATTACAGTGTTTGAGAAAATATGACAGTCTGAGAGGTCCGTCACTCTAAAGTGAAGCATTTTTGTGGAAATATCTAAAAGTAGCCTACATAGGGTGTGTGTTACTCATCAGGGCATCAGTCTACTACCGATAGCATCAAAAATATTGGCGGGTATCACAATTCCTATTTTGTGCAAAATGCATCAGAAAGGAGCAGGGTTAATTTCATTCTAATCGTGGATAACTTGATCATGTATTTATTCTCTATCAGATGCTTGAACACCAATACACGCAGTGCAGGCCAAAAATCATTGTATTCATCAAAACTAGAGCTACCTTTAACTCATTGAATAAGTATGTTCCATGGAATCATATTTTAGACTGTAATAATCATTTTGAAAGCCCTATACTTTCACATCTCTGAGACATATACATCTCTCTCCATTGTTTCAAAACAATAGCGGGATAAGCGGGGACTGTCTGATTTCACCATTCCTCTTCAACTTTGTCATGGATGACCTTATCGAGACTTAACTGGAAGTGGTGTGTTATATTGGTCTAGATCTGTTACCGGGTGGAGAAATTTTTGACATCCAGCACACATTTGATACCACCACAGTGCCCAAGTTTTACACCTATATCAATGCATTTGATATACTTTTGTTAGGCGACAACATATTGTATGATTAAGTCATAATCAGTCAGGTAGCGGTGACTGTCCATTGGTAGGGTGTGTGGTTCACGGTGTCAAAGTGAAAACTGCTTCTAAAAGGTTCGCAAGAGCTTCTACCTACACTTACTCTTCTTGACTAACCTTTGGAAGTTGTTGAAAAGCTTGTGTACCTGGGCGATTGTGTCAGTGCTAATGGAGATTCGACTACTTAAATTTCCAGCCATATTTTTAAAGCCAGATTGGAAAATGTCAATCGTGCTGTTAACTTTGCTGAGAAAAACCAGGTATACAGTCCGTCCGCTTAAGAAGTTTTCCTTTGCACATATGAAACCATGCCACTGCATGATGAGGATGTTCAATGGGTCTGCATTTTCGGAAGATTCTTTACATCCATTGAACACACTTTGTTATCACTCCTGGGGTGAAGTGGCCTTTGTTTTACCGTGATAGAGATTGTCACTGATTGAGCGTGATCACATGAAATAGCGGGTCTCATAGCTCAGATATGTGCCATACAACATGTTCAAGCGTCTTGCATACCGCTCGCTATTTGTGTACCCTATGGCTGGTAGTAAGAAGCGAAAAAGTTACGAGTGCATGATATTGGCACCGTGCGACAAAAGATGGTTGTGTTAGCTTAGCTTTGACATATGCCTCACAGTTCCACGAAAGGGATTTCCAACAAACTGCAGACATCCATCAACAGCTGCTGCCTACGCTCACTCGTTACTGAAGCTCAGATGGCCAGAATAATGAGAATAATAGGCAACAAGGAAATCTGGCTGGCTGGCTGGCAACGAACCAACCAAGAATCTGTCACTCAACAAATATGCATCGGAAGAAAGTGGAGATGGATTGGGTATACACTGAGAAGGCCGACTGGGGACATCACGCACCAGGCCAGTCCTCGGATGGAAGGAACCCAGATGGGAAGCGACGAGTTAGGTGTCTGAGGTGAGGGTGAGGGTGACATGGAGGAGGTGGTGTGAGGAAGAAATGAGAGGTTGTGGGCAGTGGTGGAGCCAGGTTGGAAAGATTGTAGAGAAGAGAGTGTAATGGAGGTGTGCTACTGAGGCCGTATGTCCCACTAGGAACCCAAGGGATAAATAAATAATAGTACTACCTATAAATTCTAATTCTTGGTGGTATTACAGTTCCGATTGGCTCTTCTTATTTTTACCTCAAAAGATTTCTTTACTTTAGTATTAGGCTTCTGACCATAGAAGTTGGAAATATGGAGCATTGGATTCTGACCCAGTGGCTCAATGGTGACGCGCTGGCCGCGGGACCTGAATGTCGCGGGTTCGATCCCTGCTGGTGGGATCGTGGGTGCGCACTGCTGAGGAGTCCCATACTAGGACGAAACAGCTGTCCAGTGCTCCCAGGTTTCCTTTATTCCTCCAACTGATGTCAGTCTACGATGAATAACAACTTGAAATAATTCCAAATCTCCACAACTCCCTCAAAATTTAAATGATATCCATCTGTTTAAAACAATTAGTCCCTTTAATAAATTTCGATAACGCTATTAGAAGACGAAGATTATCTGAAAAACGTGATGTATTTGCGCAATACATTTCGAACAATCTGATCACACATTTACTTGTCAAGTCAATTTGTCTGTGAAGATTAAATGTCAAATATAGTGAATATGAAAAGGTTGTGACACTAGTCTTAGTAATATAATCAGATAAGGATTACAAAGGTAAATTAAGTGAAACAACAAATTGTTTTTTACACACAGCGGGGGCTTAAGTTTACGAATGGCTAACGCTTCGGCAAACTTCAGTATGCGCCCCTGATTATTCCTGTATAATATCTTAAACGCTGCTTTCGTACTAACCTGTGGTTCATTTCAATAATATGTTTTGCCATAGATGACGATGGATGTCTGTCACCTGCACTTATCAAAGTTTGTATGTTAAACTGTTTTTCTAGCCATTTGGGTATGTGTTCACCCATCCTAGTCTGCATTGAACGATTACTCCTCCCTATGTATGTGTGTTCCCACACATACATGTAAATTGGTAAATACAACAGGATGTGATGTCATCATTTGTGCGAGGTTGAGGTTTGTGGTGAAGCAAATGTTTTGTCGTCTCAACAATGATAAGCTGAGCTGCATAGTATGCTTTACTGATAACAGATTTTAATCTCTGCTTCAATATCATGCTACTTGTTTCTCCTCTGTATGATACTTTAAGAAATATGCTTTTCTTCGGGACTGAGGAAACTATAGGCTTTGGGGTCAGCTATTTTTTACAATGGTTGACAAACTGTAATGGATAACCGTTTTCCACTAGAGTGTCTGTCAGAAACTTATTCTCGTCATCCATCTTATCAGATGTACAAATACATTGGATTCTATTGAACAAGCATCTTACCAGGCCTCTCTTATATTTCATCGGACAAAAACTATGGAAATTCAAATACTGTCGTGTCCAAGTAGGCTTCCTATATACTGATCGTCTTATAGATCCATCTTCCCTCCGGCACAAGAGTATATCAAGAAATGCAAGTTGATGGTCTTTTTCTTTCTCATATGTCAGACTGATATGATCTTGTAGGGTATTAAGCCTTTTTACCAACCCTTCGGCATCCTCATATGTGTCACATATTACAAAGATATCATCCACACACCTTCTATAGAGTGTGACATTGGTGATTAGGTCTTGAGCCATTAGTGTACAAAAACAATTTGTTGTTTCACTTAATTTACCTTTGTAATCCTTATCTGATTATATTACTAAGACTAGTGTCACAACCTTTTCATATTCACTATATTTGACATTTAATCTTCATAGATAAATTGACTTGACAAGTAAATGTGTGATCAGATTGTTCGAAATGTATTGCGCAAATACATCACGTTTTTCAGATAATCTTCGTCTTCTAATAGCGTTATCGAGATATGCATCTAGTCTTTACAACAATGATGACACATGGTTCAGTCATTCTAAAGTTAAATTTTTGAAATTGATTGCAGCTTCGACAGATTATTTAATTGCTATTGGCTATCCGTTACTAACCAATCAAAATTCGTAAAATGGATTTTGCTTTGCAAATCAGTTCATATTAATTTATTATGTATAAGTTAAAAATAAAATAAAAATCTATTATTAACTGTATTAAAATCATGCTTGAATAATCTATTCCAATAATAATGCATGCATCTTCACTTATTGTGGAAAATATGCCATTGATGCCAATGACACCACAAATTGTGATTGAAATTCCTGCAAACACGCCACCTGAATCAAATTACAATAGTACAACAAACTTAAATTCTAACTTAATCTCTGGTTTATTCATTCAACCGAATAACACTGAATGGTCATCGGGTGCATCAAGTCCAATTTCATGTTATCGAAATCTCCTAGCACCTAATTATTGGTCTACAAGTCATTATCTTACTTCAAAATGTGAGAATTCTTTGAGTCATGGAAGTCTAAAAGATGAATGCCATGTAGATAGAAGAAATCATTTCGATGGTCAGTCGATATTTTCACAAGCTAGTAGAACACCTCCACCATTGTTATTATCGCCAACATCATCTTCACAGTATTTAAATCATAACGGAAATTCCTATTGTTGTGTTATGAATAGACAGATGGACAGCTGTAATGGTGATTTTCAGTGTTCCAATTCTACTTCTTTGACATCTTCATGTGGTGGAAATAGACACTTCTGTTCAGATGGTTATACAGATAAGTATACCTGTCAACCATCTGAAAAGTCATCATTCACCTTTAGGTCTTGTACACCAAAATCGATTAAAGCAAATACCAGATACCCTTCGAATAGATCTTTAAGTCCATATTCATTTTCTAACTGTCCACAAAATGTCAACTTGTCTAAACCGTTTACACCATGCCTATCATCTGATAGTCACTATAATGGTTTAGAGCTATCCAATTATCAACATAGAGACTATCCAGAGAGTTTTTTTCCATCTAGATTGATTTCACCAAAAGTACACGCCAACCAAGAAGAAGAGCATCTTCCCTTCTATCTTATACAAGTTTAAATACATCTTCTCAGCTATTATGTAGTCCATATCTAACAAAAGCAGCATCATATTTTACAAAAGCTTATTGTACCAATAACAATCCACAACGTTGTCAATTAGTTGGTAGACGACTATCTACACTGCAACATTCCAATTCACTGCCTGAATTATCAATAATAACAAAAAGGACTGATTCACATTTGACTGCAAAAAGTTTAGTAAAACATAGAAAAAATGAACGAAATCAGGATAATTGTTGGTATAAGCGTACGTATGGAATGAAATCGAATAATTTCTTTCCACCTCCTTTACAATCCAGCTATAATTCTTTCCTGCCAATGGATTTACCATGTCAAGAGCAACATTTGTACCTGTCTGCTGCTATAAATCGTCGTCGACATACAGAAGGCTGTAGTCAGAAACTTAATTCATCCTTGTTACTTCAACCAAGTCGTCGATCAAATTCCGTTTGTTCACAATATCATAGTTATGCAACTGTAAACAACAGTACCACTACTAGAAACATTGTTAGTAGTATGCGAAATGTGAATTGTAACTACAATATCAACAGTAATAATAATAATAATAATAATAATAATAATAATAATAATAATAATAATGGCTTGTTTGTTTCGAATCATTCTTTTCTAAGAGCATCTAGTCAAATGATTGATGAATGCAACTGTCACACTCTGTCAAATCTCTCAGTTATGTTAACATCTAAGTCCAATAATACAATTGATGAAAATTCTGACTATATCAGTGAATCACTATTAAACAAAACTTGTTTGGATATATGTAAAAAACCGATGGTAGATCCTATTGAATTAGAATCAGATAAAGGCGACAACTTTGATGGAATTATTGATTTATCAGTGAAACAAGGTGATTCATTTGCACGTTGTCTTTGTTCATTAATTGTTCTTCTGGTATGTATGCAATTAGTTGTTGGAGTTGCATCAACTGGTGTTGGATTATTTTTAACATGGAAAGTTCCAGAGTTACAGCCAATGGAATGTGCATATTTTTCAGGCATGCCTGTAAGTTTTTGATGTGTTTTACTAAAATAAATAACAAATTCATAGTCATGTTTCAAGTTACAAATCGGGACACTAGGTAAATCTACTGAGTTTCCTGGTGTACTACTTTGCTGATGGAAACATATTACATGAACAGGATTTTAGTCTAGAATCACTTGGTGAAAAGTCTTTGTTTCATTCATGCTTTTCCCACGAGGTTGGCTTATTCTCATATCATACCGTCTATAATTGACAGCGTTTTTAAAGTGGTTATTTTCAAGTTATGTGGATAAAGCAAAAGGTAACCCTTTTGTGGTTTAATTCTTCCAGCATGATTGTAAATAAAATATCTCTCATCTAGCTTATGCTGTGTAGAACATGTCAAGTTAATTACCGAAAATTTTGTGACTTCTTAACCTTTAGATAATGAACTTAATGTCCGTCCTAAATGTGAACGCTTGCTTAAGAAATGTAGGCGATTTAAAGTGGTTACTATTTGTTGATATACTTGTATTTATACTGGGTGATGATTGAAGGTGAGATAGAAATGTGAACCGCTGCTGGATTTGAACCAGCGGCCACCGGGTGACTGGCTCAGTGCCCTACCAACTGAGATACGAGGTCTGACCACTGACCAGAATTTTATTTCACTTCAATCACCAAAGATTTTTGTCCGACCACCATGTGAATTTGTGACGTGTTACTACCACTTGGTCGTATTCACACTGGCTGCCTAGTCAGGACTTCTCATTCCAATCCCAGTCTAACTGAATCTGAGAGGGGAAGCATCATATTGATTGTCATTTGACTATCTGAGATAGCTGTAGTTTGGCAGATTAGAACAAAGCACTGACACCATCACTCCATTTCCAAAGTAAAGCCTGCAGAAGCTGGGGCACAATCAACTCACAATACTCATTCATCACGCAAACACACGCACAAACTAACTCACTGACAACACTGTCATTCAACACTCACCTACCCTTGGTGATTGAAGGGAAATAAAATTATGGTCAGCAGCCGAACCTTGTATCTCAGTTGGTAGCGCCTTGCTGAGGAAACCTAGACTCGGAGCTTCCTTTTGACTACCTCTAACCAATTAACACTCTTCTTTTCTGTCCCACTTATGACTGAAGTGAAGAAGACTTGTTAGGTTAGCTAGTGTCACGATCACGATAATTTGTGAGATTATTAGGGAGATCAAATGAAATAACACCGGAAACTATTAAATGTAAAAATAAGAATGACAATGACCACATAAGAGTACAACGATTGATCTGACAAAAGAGGAAGTTGAGAAGTCAAAAAGAGATGATGCATAACAAGATCAAAATAAGTTAAGGTCAAAGTAGAGACAAAGACTGTACATACTTCTTTTGCAATAAACACAGGTCAGACTTCAGTTCATGTATAGCCAAGGCTTCTACTGTTTTTGGAAGTCGAACACGGAGGAAACGTGAGGTGTTTGAGTGAATTCGATACATAACCTTAAACTTTTTGTTTGGGTCGGTTGAATGTATGGAATCGATTAAATGTACAAGGATAGAACTTTTGATGCATTTCCTTTCACCCTTATAAAACCAGGCTGCAATATGTTCTCATATATATGTTCACAGCAGGCTCTGACTATGGCCGATGTACCTTGCTCGACAGGAGCAGGTGGACTGGTAGATATACATGTATGCGGCCCGTCGAGTGATATTGTCTTTTACACTAACGGAGAACAATTTACAACTGGTACAGATCAAAGGAAGTATGGGTGAGGAAAAGTCCTAATAACTGATTTGGAAAGACGATTTTTCAGGATGTCTGACGCTGTATCACTTTTAAATTCCAGAAACTGAGCTGATGACTGGTTTCATATGTCTTTGTCACATATTCTTGTCAATAAATCGGCTAGGATAGCCGTTCTATTATAACCATCATTATTTTTATTTCAACCTCCAATTATTTAAGTTAACTCTTCCCTACGGACCATACTCGTTAAATGTCATATATATATATATATATATATATATATATATATATATATATATATATATATATATATATAAATTCGTGGAAAAGAGTCTTCTTCCCTGAATATCTTGTTTTAGGTGTTTTATCTCTCGATCAACATACGGTCAGTTTAGCGAAATGAATGTCACTGGTTTTCTTGATGACAGGACTGAAATTTTCGATTAGATGTAATTCAGAATTCAATTTTTGTCTTTTATCCAATACACTTATGGTTTCTTTGATTTTGCAAAGTGTTAGAAAGAGAAATTTGGAAGAAAAACCCTAGAGTTTATCGGTGTGCAAAGTGGTTTTAATATAAAGTAGATAGCAAAATGGCTGGTGATGACATTTCACACATGACAGGTAATTGAAGAAAAATGGATGAAATATATCTTTAAAACTAAGGATTATCTTGTTGGTTGTTAGTAGTCAATTGATAAAAAATAACGTACTATCTATAATGCATCCTTATTATAAACCATGAGTGATAGTATTTCTACAACATTAGGGAAATTCATATTACGCTTAAAGTTAGAATTTAAGTGGGTTGACTTGTAAATTCATGATTGAAGTTGAATGCATTCTCAGTAATGAAATTCTATTCATGCTTTACAATGACTTGTAATCAGAAACCAGTATCTACAGATTTAAGTTAGGTGATCTAGTGCGGATTAAGCTAAATCACATCTTACTCCATTTATTTATTATCGAAAAAGTACTGCAGACGTCCTGAAGGTACAGAGATGTTGTTTTCTTCTTAGAAACAGTATGAATTATAAAGATTTACTTTCATGTCGAAATCTAGTAACCAGATGAATATATGTGAACGTGTATCTATGAGAAGCAAGCGTTATTTTCTTATTAAATTTATTCTGTTACTATTATCAGTAGCTATAGTAACGTGATGTTACAATAATGACTAGTTTATCTCAATACACTAAAACACAATTCTATTCTTTTAGTGTTATAAGTGACGATTTTATCCCATATAAAACAGAACAAACACTAGTTTTCTTCACATTTCCTTTTATCTTCAATATGACATGTGTAATTATCAACTAATTATCACAATATGTATACAAATAGATATATGTAGTCACTGCTGATGCCATTTATTAACACTATTACTACTACTACTGCTACTACTACTACTAGTTCTATTACGATTATTATCATTTCTGAGATAAGAAAATGGTAGAAAACTGGAACATGATTGCTTTAGCCCGAGAAACTTCTTTTTAAAAATGACGCTACATAGAAAGGGATACAGAAAAACAACAAAAGTTTTGATGATAAACATAAGAAAATATGGCATTGAATATTCAAGTGAACTGATAATAAAATGATTATTATTAATTGGAATAAATAGCAGTAGTGTTAGTAGTAGTAATAATGATATTGTTAACCTTAAAGCAGATGGTTTTTGCTGAATAAAGAGAAATAGGTGAATGGCTGTTTAATAAATTTAGTAAATAAATGAATGAGTAAATTACTATATTATTTATTTTACCCTTGGGTTCCTAGTGAGATTTAGGGCTTCAGTAACACGCCTCCGTTGCACTCTTCAGTCTAGTCTTCTACACTTGGCGCCGTGACTGCCCACAAGCTTTCTTTTCTTCCTCCCATGATCTCTTCCGTGTCACCCTCACCTTGGACGCCCAACTAGTCGTTTAGCACTTGGCTTCTACTCGACGACCTGACCTGGCACGCGATATCCACAATCAGTCTTCTCAGTGCATGCCCAATCCATCTCCACTTTCTTCTACATATTTGTTGGGTGATGGGTTCGAATAAGTAAATAAAAATGAATAATCTCGAGGAAAATTATTTCGTCTTTAAATAGAGTAGTGTGAAATAAATGTTTTTCAAGTCAATCTGGTTAGTTATCTTTTGACTATTTTTTCGTATGGAATGAAGTAAAGTGGTCACTATGATTATCAGCTGAAAAATGAACTTTTTCATAATAGAAAAGGAGCTTTTAAAAAGGTTGAAGATAGTGTTAACTAGTGTCACAATCTCGCCAAATACTTTCAAACGGACTAAAATAGTAGGTACTAGCATACCAAGAATGTGTAGATTGCCTAAAATTCATGAGCCTAACGTACCCGTACTCCATATCTTGGACATCTTCAATTCATCGTATCGTGAAGTAGCCAGATGGCTAGCAGATATACTGAAACCTTTACATCCATCTATCCCAATCAATGTAGGACCAGGCATTACTGCGTAATGGTCCGAGTTGCCAAACTTCATATCAGTACACCAAGTAAAAAGCAGTGACGCGGAAGATGAAGAAAAAAATTCAGTCGAAAGAAATATACAGTACTCGAAGGGAGAAATGAAGAATAAAAAAGTGGTAAGATTCGGCATAACGTTAAGATAAGGATAATATGTGTATACATGTGCACCACTGACATCGGTTCTGAGCCATATCACCTAGAGTCTGCAGCCACTGGTTTCTCTTGTCCTGCGGGCCCCAACCAGCTAATCTGCATCGCCCCATATGGCTCAAACCAACAGTCGGGGACTTCATACATTGGTGCGATGTTTTAGTCTATCCACCTCGTGCTTTTTTCTGGCCTTAACCTACCTCGGCCAACATTGTGACGAGGCAGACGGCGACTAAGCATACGTGACACATGTCCCAACCAGTCATCTCAGTCGATGAAGGTTCACAATTAGGTCAACTGGCTTACCTCTTCTCCCTATAAGTCTACACCTGACTCCTACGGTATTCACACGGTGACACCATGGAATACGGCCTATACCACTAAGGCAACGGTGGTCAAATACCTGAAGCCTTTTCATGTCTTCCACCCTCAGTGGTCATGTTTAACAGCCATGCAGTAGAAGAGAGCGGATTGCTGTGCAGTACATGCAATCCTTAGTAGAAAACGGACATTGAAGCGGCGCCACAGTTGTAGTAAGTTGGCGAAAGCTAGTCGAGCCTTTTTATTCATGTAGAGGTTTCATCGGCCACTAAGCCAGCAGGGCAGGGCTGATCCCACTTCTCAGGTAAGTGA